CGCCCCCGACTGTTGCGGGTGCCAAAGGAGAGAAAGACTAAGAGCATCAGAGGCAAACTGGCGAGTACCTCTCTCTCTCTCCATATATATATATATTTATATTTATATTTATATTTATATTTATATTTATAGATATAAACTAGCAGCAACTCTTTGCATGGTTCTTGTACACTTCGCTGGGTGGTTCTAGACCAGTCAAGTGGGTGGTTGTTGGGCAGTTGACTGGACCGAGTTGGCCGTCCAGCTATTCAGTTTCCCTCGTGTTCCGAAAGTGCATCCTTTAGTGTCCAATTACGGAGCCACGTGGTCAAGCAGCAAATGCACACACACACACACACGTGTATGCAACAGTGTGTTTCTCTAATACAATACCGAGTTAAGGGTGTCAGGTGTCTTTGCATGGCAGGGACTTTGGCCGAGAGGGCTCAGGTGGGGATCCACACGAACACTAGAGCTCGAGCTAAGACCTGAGAGACAAGTCGGCCCGGGACGTGGCTCACTTGGCCCGTGTGCGTAGAACCCCATTATCCGGCCCTTTGTAGAATTTGTTCGACGTCCTTCATCGGGGGATATCAGAATCTAGCATCGACGGACTGACGTGCCCATTGCGTGCTTGCCCTAAATCCTCCCGCTCAACGTCTAGCTCGGGAGATATGCAGCATTTGCAACAAGCACTTATCGCCGTGATGACGTAACTGCTGGTTAGCTGCAGTTGAAAAACTATCCATTTGCCTCCTCGCTTGCCCTGGCCTCACAGTGAGAGTTGGCAGTGCGTAGATGGTGATCCAAGAACCGCCGCACCTGCAGCAACGAACCGAGGACAGCACACGGCTTTGGGCATAGACTGGATGTTTGGCAGGGACATCCCAGCTTGAGATGCAGCTACCTCTTTGCTTTTCAGCTCCTCCACGTGCCCGTTGCTGAGTGGCTTCAGTGGTGCATTACATGGTGCAGGAACCCAACTCTGTGTCGGCTTGCCTGCGGCGGCAGCTGCCGAACAACTTTGTCACTGAAGGCAGATGCCATCCTCGTGATGGCTGCGGGTTGTATGCTAGACTCGAGAACACCCATCGTTGTACCTCCAACAGAAGATAACCGACGGAACCGCCGCCGGTCCCAACCCGAGGACTCATCTTCCCCTCCTCGCCGCGGGTTTGTGCCAGAAAATTGCAGCCGGGGAGCAAGGATGCCTCGCATCCAGGGGGCAACACAATGCCTGCAGGCAGATTGCTGAAGCCACGTGGCAACTTGCTGAAAACGTTGATTTTGCTAAAACGAGCTGTATTGAAGATACCTCAGACGCAGTTTCTACAGGACCCCAACCCAACGAACATGAAGTGCAGTAGTTGAGGGGAGTTCTTTAAGGTAAGGACCCGTTTATCAAAGGCGTACATTCGCATGTGTGTTTAGCCCATCTTCGGCTGGCTGCTTAGGACCAGGGTTTCTGGCCAAGGGACCCAAATCGGGGTTCTCCCCTTTTTTGTAGCTGTGCATTACGGGCTCTCTGCTAAGACACTTGAACTCGACTTAGGACAAATGCCTGTACTTTAAAACCCTATAGTCACCAAACTTTCCCGCAAGCCTTATAAAACGATGCACGCGTCGGTGAATCAATTTCAGCTGGTTCAGGTTCACAGCAGAATCTCGGAAGGCAAGTGCATGACGAAACTGTACAATGCCTGGCTATCCTGCTTTCCTACTTGTAGTATCCGGTTGAACATCTTTGAGACATCTGTGAGCATTCTTTGTTTCTGGCGTTCAAGTCTACGCATATCGTTTTTCGTCAGCTGGGCACAGGTATTTTGTTGCATCTTGACCGCGTTGAAGAATGGCTAGCGCAGAGTATGCCCTGAGTTGTGGGAGCTTAGTTCGTCTGGCCATACACTTGTGATCCCCTATGGTCACGTTCTCAAATGGTCAAACAATCAAAATGGTGCACTGTGCGAGTCGCCGCTACAGCACAACGCTCAAGTCCCAGCCGGCGCCTGAAAGGACCCTCAAAAGAAGGTTCCGAGGCATTCCGAAAAAGGCCTGGCGGCTTGAAGGACTTCCGCTTTCATGGTTCGAAGTCTGCTGGGAGCTGAGCAAGAAAATGGTGCACAGCTCGTCGAAAGCAACACACCCGATGCAACTTGCGATGTGACACTGAGGACTCTGTGTGACCGACTTGCCTCGTATCGTGTTGCGTGCGCATCGAATGCAGCAACGCCTCAGTGGCGCTCGCAGCTTCAATCCGGCGAGGTTAGGAAGCTCAGCACGTTAGTTGTCTCGTGTTCAGAAGACACACTTCCAACATCGAAGGAACCACACCGAATAGCAACTACAGTACCCGTCGCCGGCCACAAGTGCAACGGGTGTCTTCAAGACACGACTGAGCCTTCCGTGAGGCAGCAACCAAGGCCTCGGCAATCCTGGTAACGATGGGGCGAGTCGCGGCTCCCACAAAGCTTGGAGGCTAGCAAGAACCTGCCATTGCGCCAATGGAATCTCAGCACGAATACAGGCACAAACGAAAAAAGCGCAGATGCATAACGGAGCCATTTCAAAATCAAGCGCACCCTGTATAGACAAGTGTCGACATAGACAGATAGATGAATAGATCGATAGGCAGATACATGATAGACAATGATAAACAGATAGATAGACAGATGGACAGATAGATAGATAGATAGATAAATTGCATGCAGACAGACAGACAGACAGACAGACAGACATGCAGATGAAAGACACTTGGAAGATGACAAACAAATAGAAATAGCGTGATGCCTTACAACATACAGCTGTAATATGGTGGAAGAGAAAGCTATCTGAAAGATTCCATGAGCGTATGCATCCGGATCCAATGCATCCGCTCAGACCTCAACGAAAGCTGAACACACAGTAGCACAGAACAGCTCGAGAAAAAAACAAATCGGCTGAATGACACAACCAAAGGCCTTTGCACGCGCACACACACACACACAGAGAGACACACGAGTTGAAACCCACTGCAGCTCCATGCAGGAGTAGCGTAGTTATTCAATTTGAAAGCGCTCTTGCTGCCGCCTGCACGCACGCCAGTCTCTCTATGCTATGTCAAGAAGGGTCATCGGAAACAATTCGCCTGCATCGTGAGAAGTCAGGAGCCCGGGTTCCAAAGCAGTGCAGCAGTACACGCGTGTACGTCTGTTGCTCAAGAACACGCCTGCAGAAGATGGGCCGCAGCACCAAGGGCCCCTCCCGATCGCGGAGGTAACCCGTACCTCGCAGGATCTAGGTGCGCTGCTCTGACAGATGGCTTGCTTGTCGTCTCAGTAGGTACCTTCCCTCCTGCCAGCGAGTCGGAAGGTTTAGGCTTTTACTGAAGTCCCCGCTGCGCAGCCTGCACCTCCGACGTCTGTGCTGGGCGTTATCGGGCGCCTTGAATGCCACGGAACGAATTCATCCATCACCGGTACAAGAGGAAATCGTGGTTTGGCTCGGAAGCCATGGTGGCAGCGAGCCGCAAAGGCCCTGGCCCTGTTGGGCTCCCCGAGCCGAGTGAGGCGAGCATGGAGGCGAGGAACATGTCTGGGCTGTGGGCCACCTTGGCTGCCGAAATCATTGCCTGAAATATCCTGAAGTCCTGAAGGCCTGTCGAAATCCAGGCACGTCCATGCCAGCAAAAGATCCAGGGCCGCAGCAGAGGAGCCGCCCGGAGGGAGGACGAGGTGGACGTAGGCATCCACACATTTCTGGGCTCACAACCGCTCTTGGCGAAAACTACTTGTAACAACCTCCACAATTTATCCAAACGGCGGGGCAGATCTTCCGGAACAGAATATTGTGCAAGGAATTGCAAGGGATCTCGCACTTGAAGCAAAGTGGAGGGCTTGAGATGTGGAATCTGTGAGGCCTTGCGACAAGATATAACACTGCTTCGACCCGTCTCAGGTCCGAGGTGCGAAGAGCTGCGCTAGCTCACGTGGCTCGTAGAGTGTGTTGATATCCGGCAGATCTTCTACCTGGCACGACGGCCGACGACTTCCGCGGCTCGTATTTGGCAGCGAGCTGGAGCAAACTGCACCCAACGCTTCAGATTGAGCTCTCATTCCAGCGAATCTGCTGTGCGAGAATGCAGCCTTGCGTTTGATGCTCAGCACTTGTGGGATGTGCTTCCGGGGCATCGCCGGCTTCCACACTTCGCCTGAGCTTGGTGATAGCCGTCGCGGGCTGATGAGTTGCGGGAGGCGAGCAGCAAAGGGCACAAACTAGAGCGCTGCCCGCTGCCCTCCGTCTCCGCATTTGCCTCGTTATCTGTAGAAGACATTAGAAGACCTGAATCCGAGCGGTTTTGCTGCACATGTGAGTTCGCACGTGACATCTGAGCTGCCACGCTCTCTTTGGAGCTTCGCCTGCGTCCTCCACTGCCCGCTCCACCCTGTCTCCACAGCAATGCACGGCAATAGCTCAACTAAGGGATCTAAAGATCCACGGGGCCTCATCATCCGACTGCAGCTCGGTGCCTGAATCAAGGCGAATTGCAGCATGTATCCGGCAAGCGAAGATGCTCCAAGGCCATCCGAAGCTTGACAAACCGAAGTAGAAGCTGGCATGAATCTCACGCTTGTGCTTCTGAGAGGTCTTGCGCAGCAGAAGCGTCAGATTGATCGGCTCGGACTCACAGAACACAATGCCGGTACTTGTAACCAACTGGCGTTCGACATCTGACGCTGTCAGAACCCAACCGGCCAAGGGCATGCTACCTAGCGACCTAGGGGAAGTGCCAAAGTGGCTATCTGATGAGAGCAAACCTCTGCCGCGCCTTCTTCTTCCGAAGAAGTAGCAGATGATCCCTGGCGTGCTTAGGGACTGTCGTCGCGCTCAAGTTCGGAACGTGCAATTGAAGTCGTTGTGCAGTCATGCAGCGCATGGTTTAATTCCAACAGACTTGCAAGAGCTTGCATGCAGTAACTCTTGTTTCCTTCTCTCAGGTTCGTAGCCTTCCCTGACCTAGGTGCGCAGTGGGCATTTCGCATGTTTGATGTAAACCAGAGTCAGAATCGCCAACGAGGTTCCAGAAATAGTCTCTCGACTGCTTCACTCAATGTAGCACATTCCGTCTATTCAATGACGATGTCCATCCTTGCTTCAGTTGTAGCACCGCAAAGGCCCCTGCACACAAAGGGTCGCCGTTTAGGACTTGGCAAGCCCTCAGGAACCAATTAAGGCGTAAACTAACTTGGACTTACAAGAAGCTGCTGACCGTTGGGAACTTGTGTTGGACTGGATGAACAGCCAGGGTTCAATCATGAACCATCAAACTTCGGCATCCCGCTCCAACCTCATCAGAATCCTGCTGGCTCGCACCTGCACGATGAGTTTGACTCTGGCTTTCGGTCTGAAGGTGGCTGTTGGTCTTCCGGCGCGTGTTCAGAGTTCGGATGTGTTGGTGACGACATTTTCCCGGTGCCGTGCGCACCTTAAATTCCCAATGCCCGCTTGTGCTGCACAGCTGCAGAGTCCCTACCACGCTGCAACAGAACCCACGCTAGCCTTCTTCCCCGGCATGGGCACCTCAGCGTCGCTTGAAAAGCTTACAAAAGATTCCATGATCCAGCTTTCCTGCAAAACCGGCAACCACTGTTCGGCCGGCTGGCGCCAAACATGCGCATCGAATCATCTGCGCAACACTCTGAGCACTGAGCCGATGATCTCATTCACGGGGCCCGCGGCATTGTTGGGCATAATGTGCATCGACCTGGACCGATACTCTTCGCAGATGCAGGGGCAAGTAGTTCAGCAGCGTGCTGCGTGAGCCATAAAGTAATTCTCTCAGTACTCGTAGGCGTCTTGGCATGGCCAGTGGCATGGCCTGGAGGGTGGCCGCGCAACGTGCTGCAAGGCTCCCGGTGGCAGATGCACGGGATCCTGGCGGAAGTGGTCGAGCAGCGAGCTCTTAGCGCAATTCCTGGCACCCCGCCTCTTGAATTCCCTGGCCGAAAAAGAGCGCGGCTGCATGCGAGCGTGCCGGAGAGGCGTTCTGGCAGCTTTGGCAGCTGAATCTCCCATCTTGACAACTTGACTTCCAGCAGGCATTTTAGCAGTGTCGGATATCCGAAAGATTGTGCAGTTTGCACACTGTAGGCCAAAACATTCCCAGCTCAATCTTGGGCTCTGTCATGCCGACCGCCCCCACGGCTGCGGAGATCGCAGGCAGCAGCGCGCTGCCTGCATGAAGGGGAAACCAAGACAGGTTAACCCGGAGCTGGATTCCCACTCGTATCGCCTCGGCCAGAGCCTAAACATAGTGACCAGTACATGTGCGGTTGTTCCCTTGGCTTCTTGCTGGCGTTGGCCCCGGACGGGTCCCTTCACGTAAACGTTGCTGCTGCTCCCTCGGCCTCTGCCGATCTCTCTCCAGCACTTCTTCGCTTTGGAAGCGGTTTGAGGAGGAAACGACCTGTCCAAAGCAGATGTCTGGCTCCTAGCTTGCAGACCTCAAGGGACAGGGGCCCTGCAACGTCCAAGCAGCGCTGAGCTCCCTCTTTCGATCCGCCAGTTCGCAGTCTGCATTCTTAGCAAGTCGCTACGCGTGGTTTCTTCCATGTCTGCGGTGACACAGCTCCCTTCATCTGTCCGACACCGGTGTGTCTTAGGTTCTTAGATGTCAGTGCTCGTCATGCTTCTTCTCACGCGTCTGGCGCTTTCTCTGCCTGCATGTTGCCGATACAAGGACCGTGCGATGCAAGACAGGGCACCAAAGCAACACTAATCGGGGATGACTAGGAGTCTTAAAAGGACCCACTGATTGTAGCTACTGCATGCTACTGCTACAAGTCCATAAGACTCAACCGACATATGCTGTCGTCTGCACCGCGTCTGGCGGATAAGCAGCCTGCGGGCAAGGCGTTAGATCAATCAGGGTGGGTCCTGTATGATGGCACAGTCTCCCGGGCTGATACATGCTCAAGAGCCCCAACTGAGTCAGTGCAATGAGTTGTGCATCTTCGTTCGTTTGTCGTGTATTGCCACTGAAGACCCGTTCGAGTTGACAAACGATTCAAAATCCACCTCTTCCTTCGCTTGGCTCAATCGTGAGCGCCGTTCTTCCCTGAACTTCGCCTGCGCAGGCGGCATCTCCATTGCGGGATCTTGTTTGAGACCGTATCACTGCGTCGGCTCTGCTTCAGCTACCAGAAGGAAATTGCCATAGCTTGTCGGGCGCCCGTGACTAGTTTCCAAGTCGCACCGACGAACCTTCTCAACTCCCATCACAACGTTCCAAACCCGAAGCTTCCCAAATGCAATGCACGCGCCTTCTGCGCCGCGTCCACTTCCCCATCGAAGAAGGCGCCGAGCTTCGGGTTTGCCTTCATGACCTTCTCCTGTGCCAAACGCATTGGCTGCTCACGGGCATGCAGACATGCGCAGATCGTGCTGCTCTTCTGCACTGGCTATCTGATTGGAATTTTGCGTGGCCAGGCACGCAGCCGCCAGACGCCGCAAGAGTCAATCCAACTCACCGGTTCTCTCATGCATTGCTACGACAAGTTCCGGCCACCGCACCTTCCCCAGCACAAAGGGGCTAAGCGGCGGAGAGTCCTGCAGTCAAGAAGCGACAACTTGAGGATGTCGGAAGCCCAAACATCAGCCGTTCTTCAGAGTATTTCGATCACAGTGAGCCGAGGTGCCCCCAAGATGTACTTGGACCGAAGGCACTGGATGGGATTCGTTGACAGGTGCGTGGCCGCCTCCTGAAACATGTCGTGCTTATTGGCCATGATATTTTATGTGACGTCGGCCACGACTTCCCATGTCCTAGTAGCCTCTGCAGCTCCGTAGCCGACATCTTCGAAGCAGGCTTAGCAGGGCTTAGCAGTCTGCCCGTCCTCCTCGGCGACCTTGGAGAAGGGCATCTCGTTCGGAGCCTGCAAAGCACAAAGGCTGTCGCCAGCCAGCTCGGGCCCTGGGCCCTTCTTGAAACCCGATGGTAAGACGGCAAAACACAAAGCGGCGTGAGTCTGTTGGCAGCACAGCATCCCAAATTCAGCCCGCAGGATATGCAAATCTGATTCACACCGTCGCTCTCCTACCTTGTCGGGGTCGGAGCGCATCCTTGGCACAGCCACAGAGGAGCGAGGGGCCAACAAAGTATGACGGCTTGCTCGATAAGGGAGACTTGTGCTGTGCAAGTGGCGGCTTCACGACGAAGGTCAGCCTGAAAAAGTGCCGACTCAGGAGCACAACCACCGCACATTTTGGACGATCAAATGAGCACATGCAATCACTTTTCAGGTCAGGCGGCAAGGCGAGATGCACACTGACGTGGAGAGTAAATGCTGCAGCCATCGCACCCCACAGTGTGGCACCTTTGAGCACCTGCATGCTGCACGGCTGCAAACATCAGCAAAGCGTTGCGACAGGAAAGAAGGGCGTGAGGGGCAGAAGTGTGGAGACGTTACGGGCAGAGCCAAGCTGCTCCGGAGCCAAGTCCTCCAGTGACCCCTCCGCTCCACCTTGGAAGCGCGACAGACAGCAGAAGCAAAGCTGAGGGGACTTCTGAGCGGAGGAGCTGTTGGCCTTCTACCTTTGCCTTTCGGCCGAGCATCTGGTTGATTTTGAAGACCGCACTTGCCGCGAGCACCCCAAGAGGCAAGCAAAGAAGCTGCTGTCCAAACCAGTGCACCTTTTGAATGACGGTTGCAGGCTGAATAAAACTTTGACCGGCAACATCTTCCTGTAGCGATTATTGCTATGCTTGTGGTTTGCAGTTTCGGGCTTGTGGGGACTTCTGTTAGCATTGCCTTGCCTGATCCGTTTGATGCAGATCCGCAAAGCATCACCTACAACACCAAAGAGGCCTCATCACTGGAGAAGTAGAACTTCCGTGCCCATCGAAGCGTCTTCCAGTGATCATACCAGTAGATATACCTTGCCACATTGGAAGCTGCAAACGTCTACAAAACACCACTCTGTTCAGCGGTTGAAGAAGCATATCAGCCAAGAATGTGTTTCACTTGTGTTGCAGCACGCTGATGTCACTGCATCTGCTCTTGTAATATTGCGGTGCACACACCGGCGGACCAACAGCGAAAACATTCCAAACAACTAGGGCGCAAACTTAACCAAAGATGTCACAGCTTCAAGGAAGAAAAAGGTTGTTTCCTTCCGCAGGCAACAACTCCCAAGCTTGATCCGTCCAAGTGGCAAGTGAGACACCATGAACGTGCCATAGGTCCAAGCCATGTACGCCTCATAGCTTTGTCCAGACAGCCAACAGGAGAATGCGAGGTATGGCCAAGACTTCATGGAACGCCCAGTGGCTGGTGCTATGAAGGGAATGCACGCAACAAGGATGAGGTTGAAGATGATGTCCGCATATCGGCCCTGCTCCATCTCAGACCTCGGCATGAACGGCATGAGACACGAGCGATGCCGAGAATTGGACGCTGTGCTGCTGAATGCTCTGCGCTTGCAGGACCCTGTCCCCGCTCAACTGGAAATCACTGGAATGAACTCTTCGGCCCCGCGCAATTCCAGCGCGCGCTCGGCATTCTCACCCCGGACTCTCCTGCGCTGGCCAAGGCTAAGGCGGCTAAGGACAAGGGATGACGACTCGGGCTTCGCGAAGCCCAGCTTGTCCCCGAAAATCTAGCTGAGCGGCGCATTGCTTCGGATGAGCATGGAACCGACCTGGTAAGGGCCTCGTGCAGGAGCGGTTGTTGTGGAGGATGCAACGACACGATGCCAATCCCCCGGGATGATTTTTCTCGCCGATCCATGTCATTCCCCCCCAAATGTCCCTACATGGCAGCGCAGTTTGTAAGGAGTCTTCACAATGCTGTGCAAGCTGAGTGCAAGAATCGAAGTGGCCACTACCAGGCCATGGTCTCATCTGCCATAACAAACCTTCGCGATCGTGCTCTGAAGTGCTAAGGCCAGCGTCTCTTAATGTGCTTTTGATGTTCGAGCTTTCCATGAAAGCTGCGCAACACCCATGCCCCATTCTCACCATCCCGTGGGCGATTCTCCCACCTAGCTGTGCCAGGAACGGCTCCACCGCAAAGGGCACCAGGAAAGTACAGGGCCAACCTGGACGCTTCGGCTTTTCAATGCCGTTGGAGAACGAAGCCACTCAAAATGCTACAAGCGGTTTGGCCGTCTTGCAGTGTCGCATGCAAGGATCCGTGATGCTTTCCCTTTTGGCCGAGTCACAGTATTTGAACAAAAGCTTGCCCACCGATTTCTGCATCGGGAAGGACTCGAAGATCTCCTTCGATCGTGGCATGTCCATGTTCGTGGACAACAGCAGGCATAGATAAAATTCACGTACAGTACCTAATCTGGCTCTGGTTCTGAAAGCAACCTCGAGTTCATGCCTGCAGAGGCCGCTGTGGGGCCCAGATTCAACCCAGAAAGCGGCCTGGAAGGTCTTTGGCCCTGGTCTGTTCCGATTAGCAGTATCCTGGAAGCTCTGCAAGCTCCCCAGAAGGCGGCCATCTGCCACGCGCGCGCCGACGCCGACCATCTGCAGGTAACTGAGATAGCCTTGCGATCCCGAGTCTGGGCAAAGATCGAAGGAGACACCACGAATCCAAATCTGAGCTTGACTTGCATCCTCGCTACCCTGGAGGGCGATGTCCATAACGAGGTTGAGAATCAAAGCAGCGTTGTAGAAGATGATGTAGACCCGGTGCTTCTGATCCTGTCGCACTTGCACACACATTAGGTTCACGCACTTCGATGCCAACGCATTCCGGTGTGTTCGACGGGGCCTCGTAGTGGCATTTGCCTCAGCAACTCGACGGCTAATAGTCAGGAGTTCTGGCCGTGATGCTGAGCATACTTGCAACACTGCATCTTTAAAGCACCGCCAGTGAAGGATCTTGAGACATCGTGCTCCCCGAATTAGTGCAGACGCTACGTCTGAGCATCGTGCACAAGTGCAAGCGAAAGCTTCCCCGGTTTCACAACTGACACAGCCAGTTGCTTTCATTGCCTGCCGAACTTACCAGAGAAAAGACTGCATTAACGAAAGATGCAAATTGCCGTGCATGTCATGTACAAAGACTGTCGCCGCTAGCGCTGACCGAGTAGTGGTGGCACGTAGTGGGCAAGTACACGAACGGACATGGAGGCTTGAGATTGCAACTGTTGTTGAGACGTGCAGAATCTACGCAGGAAAACACAGCCGAAGAGGTTTACACAATTTGTCAAGGAAGCCGAACCAACCGCGGAAGCTCAAGCATGGATGCCTTGGCCATGCATGCGCAACTTACTTGCCGGCGCAGGCAGCCCGAAACTACAATTGGTGCGGGACCAGTGCCCAACCCAAGAAGTCTTCGCTTTCTCCTTTTGGGTGTGTTGTCTTGTTCTCCTTAGGGGCGCCTTTGGGGCTCTGGTGGTTGCAGAGTGGAGGATCTCTGTGAGCGACACGCCCAAACTTTGCATCTGTGCATCTTTGCATCTGTTGCTACCCCTTAACGACTCTGGAAATGGACGCTAGAATCAAGAGCCCTCATCGAGGTCATCGGCACTTGCACGTGGCCTCATCTGGAATGAGCAACAGACATGGCAATGGTGACAGTTCCGGCAAAAGTCACTGACTATGAGCAAAATCTTCCTTTATCGTGGTGGTTGCCCTGGTCGCAACCAGGAAGCCCAGCAGCAGAACGAGGTAGGCAGTCTGCAGTTGAACAAATGCAAGCAGCAGGAAGAGTTGCCGCAGTAGCTGTAGTCGACGTCGTAGGAGTAGAAATGACTGTGCTAGCCATGATTAGCAATCAGACTGCAGGTTAGCTTCAACAAAGCTGCAAGGCCAAGAGATGAGAAGCCACAACACCATAGAAGCAGTGCTGAAACGAAAGAAAGCCACACGCCGAGTTTAACAAGCATGCCATCATTGCGAACTCCCGGTTTGCGCACACAGTGCACACAAAGTGCACACATTGAAAGCCTGTTTGATTTGTTCAGGTGTATGAACAGTCAGTCGCTGTACACTTGCAACTTTGGGTCTTGCATCCAATTCGATACTGTTCGGGGGCGGGTCAGGCACTTTGAATTTTTGAATGCTACACCGGCTGTAAGCCGGATCGCTTTCTGCTGAAGTCCCGCACCGTCCTACCAATTCCACAAGGCTGCATTGCAATTTCATGGAAGGCTGGAGCACTTCTGCAGGCCAGTCAGATTCCACCTGCTCCACTGACTGGTTGAATTGAGCTGTGCTAACCCATTGGATCGTCTAAGTCTACGGCCGTAGCCTGGAACTAAAGCCAGGGAATATCGCAGGTTGGAGTCTGCTCGACTGTTATGCAGTGCCGCAGCCATAAGGACATTTTGCTTTCTGCGCCCGCTTCATTAGAGCCCAGTTCTTCTTGAAGTTTCGCCGGATGCCTTGGAGAGACGGGTCGCAGTAAGAGCTCGGGGTAGCATGGATGTTTAGTAGCATCACACCTCTACTGAACACACATGTATCGACCGAGTCAAAGGAACAGCTCCGTGCCGCGCTCGCTTGATATCTGAATCGCTTAAGGCGATGTCATGTTGTAAAAATACCACAGCCTTCGGAACTGCTATGCCGTCGAGGATCAATGGAAATGAAAGAGGTGTTTGCAGGGCAGTTCTGCCACCTTCAGCAATGGAGAAGGCAATGTAACAGTGACAATGCTAACCTATGCAGATAGGCTCCGCCCATGCTGTCCCTTTAGTATCAGCGCACCTGGTGGTCCACTTCGAAAGGTTCGAGGCAGATCACACACACATCCTTCCAAGGTGACACTTCTGTTTCGTGCGGCATTTTGGAGGGTGTTTTGATGTGTACAGACGATGTAAGTTAAGATTCTGTACAGAATGTTCATCCACTTCAGCCGCGGCTGGGACTAGGACTAGGAGTTGTGCCGGCATCCACAGAGAGCTTGGACCTTTGAGAAGCGGCAGTGCTGGACTCTGCGAGCGTGTGTGTCAATCGACGGCTGCTAGCATTCCCGTGCTCCCCAATTCTTACTTCTTGTTGCACTTCTAGCGGAAGAGATGTCCCCAAGCGGTGACCTGCTCGAGAAGCTGCCTTTCGGCATCTGCAGCCTCGGACACCACCTGAGAGCAAGGCTGAAACCCTATGCTGAAACGGCCGAGCTGTGAGCTGTTTGTCAGTGATGCTCAAGAGCTCGAAAATACATCGGAGCACCGATCACGCAAGCGGATTCACCACAGCGCGGCAAACTCGGGACCCACATCCACAGAATCTAGAGAGATCTGCCTGGTTATTGCCACTGGCACTTGTCTTTGATGTTGTGACTGAGCCACTGGTTGTCGGCCGCTACTTGGATGGCGGGCGCCACCGTTCAAAACCAGCGGGCAACGAAATGAACTTGTGCGTTTTGCCAATATTCTTAACACGACTTCAGATGCACGCACGAACAGTCGAGCTGTTAGCAGCCTGTTTGCACGCCCACGCTCGTTCTCGCTTCTGTGGGTTTCAGGGAAATTGGAGCTTGTTATCTTGGTGCTGGGGGTTACGGCTTGAGTTTGGACTCTGCCCTTAGCACGCCAATTAGTCACTTAGCTTTCATTTTTTATCTTCCTCCGGCCTCGCTGAAGCGCCCGGTGGGACAGCGGCGCAAGAAAGCGTCGTACTCGCGTGAGCCACGCCGTGACCCCCGGTCTTTTCCTTAGGTGTTTTCGATGCCACGACTTCTACTACTACTCCTACTGCTACTACTGCTGCTACTGCTACTGCTACTGCTACTGTTGCTACTACTACTACTACTACTACTACTACTCCTGCCACCACCACTACTACTACTACTACTACTACTACTACTGTTACTACTCCTACTACTACTCCTACTCCTACTCCTACTCCTACTCCTACTACTACACTACACTGCGACTACGACTACGACTACTCCTACCACAACGACGACGACTACTACAACTACTACTAGCCGCCAGAACGGTGTCCGTAGCTTTGGACTGCCAATGGCACGGGGGCTTTGCATGTCTCTACAGTCCAAGCGGCGGAACATCACTCTGCCGTAGTGGTAGCTTGCTGCCTGGAAAGCCCCATCCACAGCGATCTTTAAGTCCAGCAGGCATGGAAGAATGGAGAAGATGGTCATCTTCATCCTGATTACACGTGCAGATTACGGGCTCGCGGACGTCAAATGCCATTGACAACCCTCCACTCGACACGACGTTGACATTCGTTGACCTACGACTGATTTTTGGACGGCTAGCGCTGCATTACACCGTTCGGCGACGAAACAGGCCAGAACAACGAGCCGGTGCCGGGGGTGCATTCCGCACCCGGCCCGCTATCGTTCGCGGTCCAACGAATGGTAGACTCAGAGTGGAGAGGGTGAGGAAAAGCACACGGTGTCGGACCCGCTCCGAGTCGCCGTTGGTGTTTGTAAAAATGGACAGAAATCTGCTAACTACACGACATTATCCCTAAGTTTCAGCATGCCAACCGTTCTGAACAGAAACGGGGTGGCATCTCCTTGTCGAAGTGGCCCAGTCATGACACCACCAAATCGCAAGTCAATCACTTCAGCTACTCGAAAATCCTACACAGGCTGCCTAGTCTTTGAGGTGCAAAGTTAGTGCAGGATTTGGAGGGAGCTTGGAGTTCTTGTAACACGACACAGGGCCATTGCTCCTGGCTCCTGGTGCTGCTTCTTGCTACTGCCAAACTTGGGTCAAGCAGCCAAAGCCGGTGGTCTTGCTTCTTCTGACGGTGCATGACCGCTGCACAGTCCAGGCATAAGATGCACGTCCAGAATATTGGGATGGATAGCCTCGCTTGGTGCAAGCCCGGAGCTTTTCACTGAAATCGATTGAAAGGCTTTGAAATTCAAAGTTTGAATTATCTTACACAATGTTGCACATCAAACATGAGGTTTCTTCAGAAGAACTACTGGCGGATCATTAGGGTTCGACTTGGGTTCGCTGGATGCCTGTCTCGTTTGTCATGACTTTGCCGTGACGCCGCAGGCCTGCAGCAAAGTCTAGTCTAGATACGTAGTACAATGTCCCGATGGAGCCACTCATCTCGCATCAAGGGCTTGCTCTTCTGGACCGAGCAACACGAAGAATTTCCGCACGATGTCCCAGAACCGGAAGGCCGTGTAAGACCCGGGTGGCTCCTCCAGGCTCCATCCTGGAAAAGAGAGCTGGCCTTGTCCTGAGAAAAGACTGCCCTCACAGACCCACGGTTGCCAAGAAGCCTTGAACTCCCTAAGAACCGCCACTTACGTTGTAAAAAGCAATGTAAAACGATTACCACCCAAAGGGGCTGAGGAGCGTTGCCAAGATTTTGGACAAGAGGCTGGCCAGCTTGACCATAGCAGACACCAACAAGGTGGACAAGACCTAAGGTCGTGTCGCTCACGGTGTCGCTCACAGCCCCAGCCCGCCAGACTCAGTAACTCAGTGAACTGAGCGGCCGCGTTGAAGAGAAGCGGCGCCACGGCACCCACGATGGCTACGCGTCGGAGCACCTGGGATCAGATGGATTCACGACACTCCTTGCTTCCGAACATCTTGCACCCATGCCTCCAATCGGCTTGCAACTCAAAAACATTCAACAAGCATGGCTGCCGTTCAGGGTGCGTCCATGTCGTCATCCTCATGCTTCTCCAGAAAGAGCCTCGGCATGTGCTCCAAGACTCCCGGAGGCGCACTGCAGTCCAAAGATCCTAGGCTCACGACCTCAAGTGTGTCCAAGCAGCATCCAGCCCCCCAAGACCGTTGCTTGCAGAAAGAAGCTGGCACCCAGTGTCAGGATGCTCAGCAAGAGCCAGGACTCTCTGTTCATCCACATGCATGTCAGCATCCCTCCTACCCACGGAACTGTCACCACGGGCCCTGAGTTCCAAGAGCTTAGAAGGGGCAGAGGCTATGAAGCATCTGCTTGATTCTACATACTTGAGCTACTTGATTCTGTTCGACCGTCAATCTTTCGCGTCGCAAGCATGCGCTGTTCTGTCGCCTGCTCTTTTCCATGTTCTACCGATTGGGCCGCGTAGGCTGCTGCGCAACGGTGATGCGGTCATGCACTGCCACACCAACTCGGCCGTGTTACCGACACAGCACCTGGAATCTCCTTCCTTAGTACCCTGCATTTGTCGGCGCCGATGCTGCTTGCAACGAAAAGGCCAACCTGGCAGACGGGTCCGGGTGCGATAGCCTCTTCCTGCATTCCAGCAAATCCCAGTTGCTAAACGCATCTCCTTTGCCACAGCGAACCTATGCGAACCGCGGTGCCGATGGGCCTGGGCACCCACGACGAGGCCGACAAAAACACCTGAGTCCAAGTTTCGTCGTGTCGTCTGCAACCGATTCGTTAGGAGCATCTCTTGAAGGATGCTCTGAAGAGATAGAATGCTTCTCAGAATTCCTCTGCCTTCAGTGCCTTGAGCCAAAACTCCGCTTTCCGTCGCCAAGTAGCTCTCGGCAACCGGGCTGGGCTCATCACCGTTGGCGTACGAGAAGGCGGCCCTGCAGTCTTGAAGGGTACGAGTAGCGGCTTCCTCTTGTCTGCGTTGAGCTGTGGTTCTACTTTGAAGCTCTGCCAAGTGCAGCGGAGGTTGGTCTTTGAAGGAGGGGGAGGTTGGTGCAAGAACATCGGTTGCTCGACAACATGTCATTCTGCATCCACCGTTCGTCTGTCTGATTCTGCGTTGTGTATGTGTTGCCTGCGTGAGTGCTGCATGTGGTTGTATAGGTCCACACGACTTTCCTTGTCAAACGGCACCCAATCCATTGCCAACACTCGCTGGTACTTCCAGCTGAGTGTGACTCGCTCGGAACGATGCATCTAGAACTTTCATGACTCTTCCTCCTGTTTGGATCCTGACGACCTGCTTGCTGCACGAAACGAGGCACAGGCAAAGAAAGAGATCCTGCCATGGACAGAGAGAACAGCATGAAATCGACGAGTATGTAAGACACGGATTTTTAAGATCTCCATCCACCAGGAATCCGCTGCTGACTGCTGATTCCGGCAAGTCACATATAGTGTGCATAGGGCAGGTAGAGCACAACTGTCCACGCCATGCACACCAAGAAAATCTGCACCTTACCACAGCCACAGTTCGCAGGTATCGTGGAAGGACCAGCTGACGGCTCCTTGTGTTTATTAACCCTGGGCTTGGGCTGTCAGGCAAGCTGCGCTTGCACCCACGAAACGCCCCGACCGCTGGGCCGGTGTGATGTGGAGATTGTGCCAGAAGAGGGCCTGGCAGAAGAGGCAGAGTCGCGGTGATAGGCAGAGCCCTGGCGGCCCTGGGCCCGGAGGGTTCTCTCTGTGATGCAGCGAATCCACCACTAAAGAAAACAATCAACCCACCTCAGGCTCGTAGGTCTCAGCTCGCAGCGAGCAAGTTGCATCCTTGCGCAGCACATGATCCGGATGTGGTGCTTGAAGGTTACGCCACTCGCGACTAACCTGCACTGCCCCCTTGAGTTATGCCATTTGCGGCAGGCAATCTGCCATCTATTTCAGTATGCCCGCCTGATGTTCACAAGCGGAGAATTGCTGCCCATCTTGGACCAGACCAGACTAGATCATGCACCTTCCGCGCACCCGAGACTGAACGGAAAGTCCTTGATTTTGATGCCGGTATCCTTGACTGCCTCGATGGCTTTGTCCCTGGCGCAAGCTGCCAGCTTGCTGTATCACGATGATGCAATAGGCATTAGTTACGAAGGAAAGTCTGTACACAACACGTTCTTGAAGTTGGAAGACTCGCGAAACTATTGCGATATCGATGTCGGAAATGCGATAGCAGCCGATAGCAACTTGCTTCACCAACATCAAGAAGTCTATAGAAGTCTCCTCTCTCCTCTGCTCTCCAGCTGGAAGTCCATTGCACGGGCCTGGAGTCTTCTTTCATGAAGATCACGTAAGACGTCGGCGCTGTCTCCAGGCTTTTCAGATTGTTCCTTAGGGCGACGGTTACGGAGTCCGGATCGAGCCGGCAATGACCCGCTGCAATCGCACTTCCTAACGCTCGCTAACTTTGTCCAAAATCGACCTGGTGCGCTGGGACAAAGAAAAATCCCAGGAGCTTGAGGTCCTCGACCTCAAACTCATGGCCATGGCCGTCCAAGTGGATATGCCTGAGATTCGAGGTCCGGACGATCCGGACCAGGATTACCACTGGAGACTGCCCCCTTCCCAATCTAAACATTCGTCGGATGCACGGTCTCAGGTTTCTGATCCGGTAGGCAAGCTTCCTGTGTGAAACTGCTAGTTGGCGTAGTCTCTTTCCTGGGGCGGTCGCCAAAGCACAACCTTCCTGCGCTTCGGACGAGCCGAATACGATGCGGCTTCTGTCATGGCTGGTCGGCAACAATTTCCGGTCAAATGCTACTTGGCATGAGGTCTTTAAAAATCAAGCCAGGATTTCTCACATACTCCTAACCCTCTAAGTCATGCTCTAATACTACGGGCCAACCTGCCTTGCACCCTGAACCCACGTTTTTTGATTCTCAGAACTGGCAACGATGCGTCGCATTTCATGTTATGTAACCGTTGGTGGTTCATGTCCCGGGGGAATCGTCGGCGATGAGCTCTAACTGAAAGCTCGAAGTGGTCAATGAGCAGTCTCGAGTTCTTGAGAAAAGAATGTGCGCGAATCATGCAATCCTTGCATCCAAGCACCTTAGGTTACTTGCCTCACTATCTTCGTCCCTGTGGCCTTATCCTGTCTTTCCTCGTCGCTACGGCCAGGTGTGTATGAAGAGTGCATCTGGCAGCCTCTGTCCTTGAAGCGGCCCAAAAAGATCAATCACCGTGTGGTTTGGCTTTGGGGTTCCCAATTGAAATCTGTCCGCGGCAGTGAAGCTCGGGCTGTTTTGTGGGAAAGCAAAGCAAAGCTGAGGCCCCAACATAGACTAGTGCCTGGTCCTAAGTCCCCGCTCCCTTCTTCTCCCCTGGGGTATGCGTCCAACCTTTGAGTAGTGGCCTCACCCTTCTAAGGGCTTTCTTCATGCGTAAGCTTAAGGGAGTGCGCCTCTAGGTGTGAATGGCAGCCTATATTTAATCAGACACTATGCTCCTCATGTCGGAGCCCGAATGACCACACTTTTTGCAAAGGCACCATAAACATTTATGTGTACAATACTGTATAATTGCATACACTTATTTAGCATTCAATTGTTTCTACCTCGGAACTCGGGAAGCGCGACTCGTCTATGGTCTCTGTCCAAGACACCATTTCTCCAAGACTTGCTTCGATATCGCGCCACAGGCACCATTGAACTGCGGCGCAGCGCCGGCAGTGCTTTGAAGGGAAGGGTGGAAGTTCAGTATTTTGGCACTCAAACCGCCCGGACTGAGGGTTGGGTTGAGTTGGTCCCATGGTCCAAGGGCGAACACCCCCACTGTGTTTTCAGGAAACCAACCGTGCTTGCCAGTCTCTGCCTGCTCCCTACTGCTACCCTTGCTGCTTCTGCTGCAACTCTGGTGCTGCTGCCCCCTGCCACTCGACTACTATTCCGACGATGACATTGGCCACAGGATGATCGTAATATATCGTAATGACAAGTCGCCGCTACCACCCTTGCTCCTCTTCTCCCCTAAAAAAGGTAACACTCTTTCGATAACAAAGCATTCTTACTTCTTACATCAAAACACGTTTGGAGTATAGCCGTTTCTCGCCTGCATATCGAAGTTTTGGGGCCTGGTGAGTCAACAGCGCGAACTGAGAGGAACCGAAACTTCAGGAAATGGATTCCAAACCGGAAGATATGAAATGCCACCAGTATGCCTGCAAGCCGAACCGTCAAAGGTCCACAACCATACTCCTGCAACTGAACCCAAACCTTCCTGCACTGCCTCTACCACGACGACTGTTCTCATGCTACAGCTACAGCTAGTGACTGTGAACTTGGAATTCATGGTTGATGCTGCCTATGATGACGATGATGAGAGGACCGGGATGAAACCACTTCGGCCTCCTCGCCGCTGCCCTCTGGGGTCTCCTTGGGCTCACCGTGCTCCACGTGGAACTCTGCGACCTCCATGTATAAGAGATGGGGATGAGGCAGGTTCGCGAATTGAATTGGAGGGCTCGAAGTCTCCGCGTCAAGGAGAGATGTTGACTTGGTGGCGAGGAACGAGAAACTGCCTATGGGTGGACATCGGTCCCATACACAGCTGCTTCCATTTCGAGAAACCCAATGCCCAAACACATGCCAGCCTGAAATTCAGCTCGCATCCATCACCTGCCTGTCTACCTTCACACGGCCCTCCCGAGCAAAGATGATGCTCGAACGGATTCCCGCTTACTTTCAGGACTTGATCTTGCGCACCGGGGTGTCTTGCGTGCCACAGGCCAAAAGAGCCAATGCACCAAGTCTGTCCGGACCCGACCATGGAAGGCACAAAGCAATCCCTTCTGACGATGCCGGAGTTGGAGGCCTCTTCGTCAATGAAGTGCCTCACCTGCCGGGCTGGCTGGCTTCGCTCTTGAACTCGAAAGCTCCAAGTCGTAGCTTTTACTATCTTTACTACCAGTAGCTCAAACGTTTGGCGCTGGTATGTTGAACTCAGGGCTGTCAAAACAACTGTCGCGAGGATCGCGGCAGCGACAGGGCTGATCCTGAGACCTGATAGACCCGTTCACGTGCGACGGAAATGTGAGGCTCCAAGAGCGCCAACTCTCTCGAGAATCGACGCACCCACCCGCGTGATCCCTGTGTGACAGTCCACATGTTGCAAGCACGACGAAAATGCAGGGCTCAGCAACAGCAATCAAGGCACGACCCATGTCCCCCTTTTCACACACGATTCACAGACAGCGAAGGCACCAATTCAACACTACAGCAACTGTTTTGGACACCGCGAGGCGAAGGCGCGGCAGTAAATGATGATTTCATCATACAGTAGGTCATAGGTCCCAGGTCTCAACAATAACAACGACAAGGATGACGACGACAACCAACAGACAACAACAACCAACAACAACCAGAACAACAACAACAACAACAGCAA